AAAGGCCATTCCAGGGAGACTATGTGTGGGGGCTGGCCCTAGATGGGGTCCACTGTAGACCCTTTTGTTCTATGGGGGGAGGAGGAGGAGGCAACCAAACAAAGACCCATTATCTGGCCAATATTGGGGAATTCTACAGCCCCCACCCCCCCATTGTCCTGAATCTCCCACCTCAGCATCAATATTATTTACTCACCTCCTAGGACTTCCTTCTTACAGCCTTCTTGGGAATCATAAGGTAACAAGGGAGGTTATTCTTTGGATCTAACTTCTATTCCTCCTGTTATAATACCAATCATTGCCCTTCTCAGTTCAGCTCAATGGTTCTATGAGTGGGACAGACGTTGGGACTGAACTCGCCCTTCCTCCTGTACTCCAAGATTACCTTTCCCCATTTCTCTCATCACTCCCTTCTTTAACTCCTTATCCTTAATATTTTCTCAGGGTACTTGGAACAGTTCAATATAGTGCGTAAGAGTCTAGGTTCTGGGTTTAGGATTCAAGGACCTGACAGCAGAGAACCTTGGGCTTTGTAACTTAAGTCCCTCCCCTGCTGACTTCTCCCTCACCCTCATCCTAGCTTGCCTACTGTCACCCATGGCACCAGGACTCAGGGTAGTTTGGAGAAGGAAAGGATCCATTCAATCCACTGTTTTGACTTTCTCTTGCTTATCCAACACTTGTCAGAGGGCAAGGAAAGGATGGGCTAACAAACGAAGGAAGACAGATTTAGAGAGACAAGATCTTGGGATCTCATAGAAACTTCCTTCTATTCTATCCACTCACTTAATAGATGAGGAGCAACAGAGAGAATGTGAGGCTCCAAGAAAACAAAAAGTGTAAGGAGCTGAGGCCACAACTTCAGGCTCCCTCCTTAGATTATACTCCCTGACTTTTCACTTCTGGAAAACTAAAGTTGGATACCTCTTGCCCTATTAGGGGATGAATGGGGAACAGAAGCCAGTGTTTGATCCTGTTTCTTCCCAAACTCTAACACCAATTCCTATCAGGTTCTTAGCATGGTTCTAGGGGTATGTTACTGGTTTCCAACCTGGGTCCAGCCATGCCCACTCTAAATGCTGTTCAAACTTTCTTTTACCATCTCCCTTCTCAGAATATCTTTCCTGACTCCCTCCAAATGATATATATTTTTCTCTGAATACAATACCACCTTCCTGCTTTTGCTTACTGGTTTTTGGCAATAAGGGGTACAACAAAGGCAGTGGGGGGATGCTGAAACCGGCTGAGTTGCAGGGTACCTAGACTGGGGTGGTTCCACTTACCCAAAGAAGAGAAGAGCAGCACAGCCAGGATAGGGCTGGGACTAGATGAGGGAGCCCCAGGAGCCATAGCTGGGGCAGGGGCTAGGGCCTGGAGCATCTGTGGGGTGAAGAGAGTGGGGGACAAGGAACTGAGCGGGGGTTCCTGGAACCCGCTTAAAATCCCCTGGGGCCCCAGCATGAGGGGGCTGTCCTGAGCCAGTAACCAATTACGGCCTGGCATGTGCAGTTGAGAGGTGGTGGTGGGGGGACAGGGTGCAGAGAGCAGAAGGGGCATTGTATACTCTGGGTGGAGGGATGGGGGGGACACATACCACCCCACACACAGAGCGCTTTGTGTCTTCTGGCCTTCCCCTGCCCCAGGCTGGAATGTTGGGAGGGAGGTGAAGGAGAGGGACAGAAAAAGGGACACAAACACACTTCTCTGAGGGATAGTTAGGCAGAGAAACCTAAATCCAAAGACCATGAAATGTGATTTCTCCTTAGCCTCCTTGCCTGACAGGAGGCCCCTGAGGTCCTAGAAGCTATAAGCAATTTCCCCCCAGAGAACTCTGAAAACAGGATATCTTTTGTTATTTTTAAAAAAATATTTATTTTTAGTTGTAGATGGACACAATACTTTTATTTTATTTATTTATTTTTATGTGGTGCTGTGGATCAAACCCAGTGTCTCACATATGCTAGGCAAGTGCTCTACCACTGAGCTACAGCTCCAACTCTCTTGTTATCTTGATTACGATAGGTTGCATTATAGATTTCTTGAGATGACCAGGTTCTTTGGGAATCTCCCTCACCCCACAATGTTCCTGCATCCTGGGAGATTCTTTCCAGAGAGAAACTTGACTGAGAAATTTCAAGGGAAGAAATCCTAGACCTTTCCCTCTTTGTTAAGAAGTTCTTTGATGACTTATGCTGCAGTTTAAGTTCATTTCAATTTAGAGCAAGACAACAAAATTGTACTGAATGCTATATGTAAAGTATGGAAATGCAGGCAATAGAAAGAGGAATAAAAATTACGTCCCTCCTGCAAGTTCAAAATTTAGTTTGGAGGAAGAGGGAGAGAGGATCAGAAAACAAACCCATCAACAACCAATTACAATAAACCATGATGCTTGCTTTAGTAATGAACAAAGAGCTGGGAATACAACAGAGCACCCACACAGCTACAACATTATGAAGGTTAAGTCATGTGGGAGATTAAACACAAAAATAAACTGCATTTAATAAATGAAGTTCAGAGGAAGAGGCACTCAGGTCTAAGAGGTAATGTTAGATATAGATCAACCTTGAAGGATGAGTGACATTTTGAAAATAAGGAAAGAGCAGAGAGAGTAACCAGATAGATAGAACAACAAAATTAAGTACAAGAATGTGAGAAAATGTGTTTTGTGCATGCATTTTTGTGCATGTGTGAGCTGGACAGGTTTGTGACGTACTGGGGATACTTAGGGAAGATCTTGAGCCATCCACTTTAATTTGGGGGAACTTGAAGGGAAAATAAGTCTGAACAGAAAAGTTGAAGCCTTTTCCTAAGGAGCCTTTAATGATAGCTCAAAGAGGGTGAATTTAATCTGATGCATTTTACCCATCTCTTTAAGATTTTGGGGTGGAATTAGGGATGGGAATAGGACTTGGTGACTCAGGAGGCTGAGGCAGGAGGATTGCAAGTCTGAGGCCAGCCTCAGCAACTTAGGGAAATCCTGTTTCAAAATTAAGAATAAAAAGGACTGGGGATGTAGCTCAGTAGTAAAGCACCTCAATACCTACATAAATAATAAATAAGTAAAAGACCTTTTAAAATATTTTTAGGTATAGATGGACACAATACCTTTATTTATTTATTTTTATGTGGTACTGAAGGTTGAACTCAGTGCCTCACCTGTGCTAGGCAAGTGCTCTACCACTGAGCTACAACCCCAGTCCTAAACTGCACAGGTAAAATCATCATCAACAAATGTTGCAATTCTTACCTCTCCCAGCTATAAACAATCACTTTCTTCCTATCTAGTCACCACTTTTAGTTATACCTGTTTTGTGTGTTGACCACTTTCTTTGTTGTATTTCTTCAGGGATCTTGCTAAGGTTATAAATTTGTTGAGGACAATATATGTCTGTGTCTTTGAGTCCCCTGTAATAGTTTTCAGAGACTGTGGCAGAAACTCAACAGGTCATACATATTAAATGAAATTTCTTAAAAAGCTAAGTAAAGCTAGCCCAGTGGTTCAAAACCAGTCTCAGCAACTTAGTGAAGACCTAAGCAACTTAGCAAGACTCTGTCTCAAAATAAAAAATAAAAAGGGTTGGGGATGTGGCTCAGCAATTAAATGCTTCTCTGTTCAATCCCCAGTACAAAAAACAAACAAACAAACACACAAGCAAAAAGAAAATAACCCCCCCCCCAAAAAAAAAAAAAAAACCAAAAAAACCCAAACAACAACAACAGGCTAAGTGCATGAGGTCTTCATTTATTTGCTAATGTGATACTCCAGAAGGCCAAAGGAGTATCAATGACTGAAAGTTCAATAGGAGGATCAATGACTGGAAGTTCAATAGCAGAACAACTTTGTAATGATTAAGCTGTTTACTACCACAGGACAAGTTCCAGCAGTCTAGAAGATCAGCTGTTAGGGATGCTTCAGAAGCGATTTTTGTCCTTGGTAGAAGGTTGGATTATAGAGTCTTTAAGGTCCCTTCCAATCCTAAAAAATCTATAATAATGCTTTATTATTATTTTTTTTTGTCTAGCATTATAGAAATGCAAAAATAGCATTTGGTTCAGAAATAAATGAATTTGTGCTATTTAAATCCTGAAAGTAAAAATTCGGGAGTGCTAAATATAAATGAGATCTGAATATTAATGTGACTGAACATGTTTTATTGTAGAAGAGGAGTTCTTCTGGGCTGTGACCTCCACTCCTGCCTCGTTTCCCTTTCCCCGCAAAAGGGCCAAGAACTTTTGCATTGTTTTATTCCTTTCTCACTTGATTTTTTCTCTCTCTCCTGTCGTGAGTTCTCTGAAATTGATCACCACGTTTGGGTTCCTCAAAACTGTTTATATGCAGTATGTATAAATCAAAGCAGGTTCTCCCCCATATCTCAGGTTCTTCTGATGGTGGGTGTTGCCCACACAGCACTGAAACAAGGAACAAGGGAGCGTTGTCTTTGGCTGGTGGGCGCCTAGCTCAGGCAGCAGCTCAAGCCTAGGAATCCTGAGGCCTGATTAGACGTTCCCCATTCTTGGGTTCCTCATCTTGTTGAGGTGACTGCAAGGTCCTCTCGTGGACCCATCTCACATTCCCCTGAGTGGGTCTCAACCTGTGTATCTATCTGACCAAAACATTAGAATGAGAAGAAGCCCAAAGTATCTTTTTCCCCGTTGTCTCAGCCAACCAACTCTGATATTTTTAGGCTGGCCAGGGAGGGAGGTGGAGTCAAACTCCGACTCAGTGAAGACTGTGGGCAATTCTTGCTGATTGGAAGGGAGATTAAAAAAAAAAAATGAACACATACGCGGGTGGCAGATTCTAAACCCAGCGGAATCTCTGCTGCAGTCCTGGCAAAAACCGTTAGGAAGAGGGGGAGAACAAACTATTTCCGAACATCTGCCACCAAAAGCGCAGAACCTAGAGCAGAGGCGCGAAGCCTTTTAAAGAACTCGGTGTCATCACGTGACGACTCTTCCGGGCTTCACCCCCGCCCCAGCTCAGACGCCCCGCCGCTTGCGTCACTTCCGTCCAGACCGGAACCCAAGATGGCTGTGCTCTTGTTGAGGTGACTTTAGCGCGGGGGTTGGGAGTCGGTGTCCGCGACCCTTGGGAGACCAGAACGGATCCTTAACGTTTGGCTGACAGCGCTTTACCCTGTGCCTGGGCTGGGAAATGACCCGTGGGTGTGGAGGCCACCGCTCCGGGATCCTAGAGACACCCCCCCCTCCCCCAGCCGCTTGGGTGCAGCTCGGTAGGGCTTTGAGGTCACTTAACTCCGTACCGAGGAGTGGCGCGGTTCTTGCCCTTTCTACTTTCCCCTGCTTTAGTACTTCTCCCCCAGATTACTCTCGTGACCCCAAAACCCAGAGCCGAGACCAGAAAATATTCTAACTCAGCTGACCATGAGTTTTACAATTTCGAGATCTTATTTAGGGATTGGGCCTCGGGGCGGAGGGAGAGATCTTGGTGTTCTTACTTTTGCTTCTAACTTCTGCGGACACCAGCGGTTGCTGGCAATGGGTGACTCTGTCCAGGTTCCCGACAGGCCCGTAGCAGAGGATGGAAGAAGCCTGGACCGCTACGAGGCCGGCGATTAGCAATAACAACGAGAGGTCCTCTGCTGCACCCTAGGGAGTTCGTTTTTAGTTTATCTTTTTACTTGGGGTTAAAGGGCGATGATCCCAGCTTTTCTCTAAAAGGTCAATTCACTATCGGTAGTAATATCCTAGATTTTCTTCCATTTAGAACTCTCCACTGTTTAGGTCTCATTTTCTACTCCCAAGCCTTTCTAGTCCTTAGCCTCTAGCGCCTGTGGATATTCCTGGTACAAATCCCAGTATAATTTTGTGCCAGCCCTATTTTTGGAAACTATTTGTTATGGAAGGTTAGCTTAAATGCTGTTGAGATTTCAATTCCCGATTTCCCCAAATGTCTTCTCATTTCTCTTTCCACTTCAGTCAGGCAATATAAAAATAAGGGATTTTGTTTAGTTTTTCTCTGTGACGAAATTATTCCTCTTGGGAGTTGAGATCAGTTATCTTAATCCTTTATTTTCTCTTTGCCTTTTATCTTCGTATGTATCTTTTCTCTCAGATATGCCGAGGCCAGTCTTGCTGGAGCTCCTTCCTTTTTTCCAGTTGACTTGATCATAATTGAATGGCTTTGGATTTTGATATCATATTTTAGTAGATGTTAGGAGCTTTTGGAGGAGTTAACATTTAGCTTGAAATGATCGTATTTGTTCTAAACAGTTCATTTGATGAGCTTCAGGATTAGTGATTAGAAGCTGAGGGTCATTACAGTCACCCCTTATTATCCTTGGGTTTTGTCTCCATGGGTTCAAATACTTGAAAAACAAATTCCAGAGAGTTACAAGAAGTTACTTGAATTTGCTGCCTGCCAAGCATTATGCTGAGTCCACATAAATGAAGTAGTGTTTAGGCATACTGCGTTAGCCTCCCACCATTTCATAGATCCTCAGTCTCTCCTCTCTACAGAACTTACTATTTCAGAGTTAATTGCTACACTTTCTGTTTACATACTGTGCAGTCTTCAACTATGATTGTTGTACCTGGACTGACTATGTATTTTTTTTCTTTGTGGTTCCTTAAATAATACAATGTAACAACTATTCACACAGCATTCACATTATATTGGCCATTCTGAATAGTCTAGAGATGATTAAAGTATATAGGAATAGCTGTATTTGTTGGCTAATGCCTGCAATCCCAGGAACTCAGGAGGCTCAGGCAGAAGGATCACTAATTCCAGACCAGCCTCAGTAATTTAGTGAGATTTTATCTGAAAAAGAGGGGGGAGTGGGCATTGCTGGGGATGTAACTCAGTGGTAAAGCACCCCAGTGTTCAATCCCCAGTACCAAAAGATTAAAAAAAATAATAATGAGGTGAATGTACATAGGATATATGCAATCACCTCATGATTTTATAGAAGGGATATAGGCATCCATGGGTTTTGGTATCTGCTGAGGGTTCTGCAGCTAATCCCCTGTAACCATATTCATTAAAGTGTATCCAGACAGTGTCATTTTATGTTGTGTAGCGCTGTTCTGTCCATACTAGGATTCAATGCCAAGAAATACACTTCTTTTTCATTAGTGGTAACCTTAAGCTCTTATGGAAGGGCACTTTTCTATTTCTCACAAGGGCTTTTATTTATTTATTGGATGGAGAAATAGTGAATTAAAACTGTTTTTCCCCCATAGAAGATTCCATCCTAATACCATTTCAACTAGAGGAATTTGATACTGTTTATAGTATACTGATTTTAATCTCAAAGGAAGGTATCTTTTAAGAAATTCTAAGGGTTGCTTTTCACTTATTTTGGACAAGTCAGGGTCCTTAGTTCTATGATTGTAGTTTCTTCATTTGTGAGTTGAAAATAGTAATAACTTGAGCCCACTTAGGAGAAATAATAAATTTCACAAAATGTGTATTTTCACTTGATGAATAAAAATTGTGTATATTTATGGTGTACAATTTGATGTTCTAAAATATGTATATATTGTGCTAAATATAGCTAGTCAACATATGTAGTACCCATGTACTTGTGTGTATGTGTATGTGTGTCATACTTGAAATCTACTCTAAGGAGTTTGGGGCAGAGGGTGGGGGGTACCAGGGACTGGACCCAGAGGCGTTTAACCACGGAGCCACATCCCTAGACCTTTTTATATTTTATTTAGAGACAGGGTCTCACTGAGTTACTGAAGCTTAATCTAATCTCAAAATCCTCCTGCCTCAGCTTCCTGAGTTGCTGGGATTATAGTTGTATGCCACCGTGCTGGCTCTAAGCAATTTTTTTTCTTTTCTTTTTTTGGTACCTGGGATTGAACTCAGGGGTGCCCTACCACTAAGTTACATCCCCAACCCTTTTTTAAAAAAATTATTTGGAGACAGGGCCTCAGTAACTTGCCAGAGCTGGTCTTGAACTGATCCTCCTGCTTCAGCCCCTCGAGTAGCTGGATGTGCCACCATGCCCAGCTGCAGTTTTCAAGTGTATAATACATTGTTATTAACTGTAAATCACCACTTTAAACACTGAACAATATAGACATGTATAAAGGTATTCTGTAGTACTTCCATTAATATGTGCAATTTTTTATGTATCAGTTGAAGTTTATACATTTTTAAAATTTAAATTGAAAATCACCATGTTTTCAAGAGAGCTCTAGAGCTTATTTGTATGTAAGTGAAATTTTCAATCCATTACCACCATCTCCCTAAACTCTTCCCTTCTCTCTCTTAAATAATTTTCTTTCTTTGTACTGAGGATTGAACCCAGGGATGCTTTACTACTGTGCTACATCTCCAGTCTTTTTTATTTTTACTCTATTTTTTGGTATCAGGATTGAACCCAAGGTTGCTTAACCACTGAGCCACATCCCCAGTCCTTTTTTATGTTTATTTTGAGGCAGGATCTCTAAGTCTTTAGGGTCTTAGAGACCCTATGGTTTCACTAAGTTGCTGAGGTTGATCTTGAATTTGTATTCCAGTTACTCCTGCCTGGGTTGCTGGGATTATAGACGTGCTCCACTGTACCGGATTCAGTCCTTTTTATTTTTTATTTTGAGAGCCTCCTGCCTCAGTCTTTTAAGTTGTTGGGATTATATGAGTGCACTCCCACTCTTGGCTCCAGTTAAAAATTTTTGATGCTTGGCTAATTAAAAATTATTAGTTATCAGAATATTGTAGCTATGCATGGTGGCGCACACCTGTAATCCCAGTGGCTCAGGAGACGGAGGAAGGAGGATCGAAAGTGCAAAGCCAACCTCATCAAAAGCGAGGCACTAAACAACTCAGTGAGACCCTGTCTCTAAATAAAATATGAAAATAGGGCTGGGGATGTGGTTCAGTGCCCCTGATTTCAATCCCCAGTTTCCCCTCCAAAAAAGAATATTATATTTCATAGCCTTTGAATAGTGCTTCATATTTTGTATATTCCCTAAACAGTCCAGGGACCAGCCAGAGCTGTTCACAGCTGAGTAACATGAATTCCATTGACACTCAGTCAAGGAATGACTTTCCAAGGCCAAGAAGGAGATAGATAGAGACAGCTGGGCTTCCATCTAATAATGTTTATGCCACTTAAGCACAGTCACTGTGATTCAACTGTCTGGCCAATATATGTAGCACAGTGGTAGGGTGCTTGCCTAGCATGTGTGAGGCCCTGGGTGTGATCCCCAGCACTAGGGGAAAAAGAAAAAAAATTAGTTCTCAGTTATTATAGGTGCTATCAATGTCAGGAATTTCAGTCTTGCCCTTGTGGAGCTCAAAGTCTAGAAGGAGAGTTAAATAGATGAATCATTAAACAACATAGCAAATGATGATAGAAACATGTATGAGAGCCTGGCTGATAGAGCAAGGCTGAAGAAGTGACTTGATCTTGCCATCTAGGAGTTGGGTTTTGATGGATGAGTTTAAGAGGCTGTAAGGAAGGCTGGGGATGTGGCTCAAGTAATAGCGCGCTTGCCTAGCATGCGTGAGACACTGGGTTCGATCCTCAGCACCACATAAAAATAAAATAAAGATATTGTCCACCTAAAGCTAAAAAATAAATATTAAAAAAAAAAAAAGAGGCTGTAAGGAGTTCCAATTAGAAGAGCATGAGCAAAGACGTGTAGTCATAAGGAGGCTTGTTCTGTCTGGGCATAATGTAATGTTCAGTGTGTCAGAAGTATAGGGGACTGATGGGAATTTGTGAGAGGGTAGGTCTGGAGAGTTTGCCCACACTTTGACTCTTATATAGCAATGTAAGTAGTGGATGTAAGAATGAGAGTAACTTTATTTTTCAGTACATTCATGTTGGTGAAGTTGAATGATAGGGAAGAGACTGTTGCTAGGTAGGTCAGTTCAGAAGCTCCTGTTACAGTTCTGGGGAGAAATATATAAAGAAGATATGGACTAAAGTAATGGACTGGAATGAAATTTTCTAAATAGTAATGGTAGAATTGGATGATGCCATGCATATATATAGGTGGTGACAGAAAAGGAGAATTCAAAGATGACTTATGTTATAGCTTGGGAGTTAGTGTCAGATGCACACCTATGACCCCAGTGATTCCCGAAGCTGGGCTGAGGCAGGAGGATTGCAAGTTAGAGGCCAGCCTCAACAACTTAGCACGACCCTGTCTCAAAATTAAAGAGACCTGGGGATATAGCTCAGTAGTAAAAATGCCCTGGGTTCAATCACTCGTACCAAAAAAATAAATTGTTCATTTCATTTAAGATTATATGTATCTGGGCTGGGGAAGTACTCAAGCGGTAGCGTGCTCGCCTGGCATGCGTGCGGCCCGGGTTCAATCCTCAGCACAACATACAAAGATGTTGTGTCCGCCGAAAAAAAAACTAAATAAATATTAAAAAAAAAAAAAAAGATTATATGTATCTATTTTATTATTGCAAATGCAGATGTTTATAAGACCTTTTCAATGCCATCAAATCAAGTTTATAAATCATATAAAAGAAGCTCATTATATTGCAGTCATGTCTTGTTTTGAATTAAAAATGGTCTTCAGTTTGATCACAGACATGGCTTTGAATAACCTTTTTTTTCCCAAATGAGTGTTTTTATCATCACTGAATGTTTTGAAGAAAATGTGATAAGAATTCTAAAGACCAATGAAGTTCTTCTTAGGGAGACCAACGAACTGATCTCTTACACATAAATGGTGTATTATAGTTCAGAGAATGCTTTCCTGTATGTTTTCTTCCTTTCTTCTTCTTCTTTTTTTTTTTTTTTTAAATTTTCTTTTGCGTTGGGGATTGACCCTGTGGGCGTTTAACCACTGAGCCACATCCCCAGTTTTTAAAAAAATGTTATTTATTTATTTATTTATGGTGATGGGAATTGAACCCATGGCCTTGTACATGCAAGGCAAGTACTCTACCAACTGAGCTGTATCCACAGCCCCCCCCCCTTTTTTTTTTTTATTATTTTTAAATTTTGAGACAGGGTCTTGCTAAGTTGCTGAGACTATCTTTGAACTTGTGTGCCTCCTGCCTCAGCCTCCCTCATATTCCCAGTGTTCAGCCCAGCCCAGTTGAGAGATTATAGGCATGTACTACTGTTCATGGCTCTTGTACATTTTCTTATGTAATTCTCCCAACAATCAATAAGGGTAGATATTATCAATCCCATTTTATAAATTAAAAGGTTGAAGTTTAGTAACTTACTCAAATTACACAACTCAAGTTACAGATCTAAGACTATCATTTTTACTTTGCAGTGTTCTTTTTCTAGTATTGTTGTTGCCCCAATCCAGAGAAGAGTTTCAAAAATTATTTGACTTTTATAATTCCAGTGACTGGGGAAGCTGAGGCAGGAGGATTGAAAATTAAAGACCAGTCTCAACAATTTAGTGAGACCCTTAGCAACTTAGCAAGAGCCTGTCTGAATATAAAAAATAAAAGTACTGGGGAATTAGTTTAGTGGAAAAGCTGTTGAATCCCTGGTATCAAAAAACAATAGCAAAAACAACAAACCAACAATGATCCAATTAATGATTACATTTTTTGTATAGTATGTTTAGAAAGGGACAATACTTAGTAGAAATTATAGGTTCTGACTTAAAGATAATATGAAGTTTTGTTACTTTCTAGTGCTAATATTTTAAGCACCATTCATGGGTGGAGAAAGAAAGTCTTTTCAAAGTTCCTGGTTTCACATGAAACACAAGGATAGATATCTACTTTTGTCATATTTTAAATAAGATTATGAAGTTTGTGCAACTCAATTCTGTAAGGGCCTTGTGGAAATCTTGCATTGATATTTGTCTGGGAAACAATAGCACTAGACAGAGCACGCCATAGATTCCAACCCACATCTGCAAACTCTTACTGGGTAGCTGGCTGACTAGGCCTAGCCTGGTGTGAGGAATGCATGCCCTGCAACTTCATAGACAATTCAGTTGATTTAAAGAGATTTGTTCCCACTTCTTTCTGGGAGCATTGGGTACACAATGTCTGTATTCACCTCTTGCCTCCAAAGCAGGGAAGAGGGAAGAACCAAAGAAGGAAGTATTGGTTGGATTTTTCCCTTCAAGTAGTGGGCCCTTTAAGTGTACTGTTATAAAACATAGACCTTGAAATGTTTGTGGATCTAGTGTCAGTGGCATGAGGAACATCATGAGCTCTATTAATCCCCATAGTGTCTTGCATGTAGTAGATGCATAATAAACTTCTTTCCCCTTTTTTTGAGGGGGATACTGGGGGTTGAACTAGGGACATTTAATCACTGGGCCATATTCCCAGTCCCCCCTTTTAAATTTTTTTAAAAAGATTGAGACGGTCTTGCTAAGTTGCCTGTGGGCTCACTGAGTTGCTGAGGCTGACCTTGAACTTGCAATCCTCTTGCCTTAGCCTCCCAAATTGCTGGGACTATAGGCTTGTGCCACCAAACCTGGCACACAATAAACTTTTGAAGAGCAACATATTTTTAATTTTTACTTCTAGAACTTCATTCATTGTGATCACTTTCTGAAATACTTTTGTACAGATTTGATGTATTGATGTGACTAAAAGGTATAATGGTTTTGTGTTTTTTATAATGCTTTGTAAATTTTGGGTCACATTTTTCTTATATAAAATGTCTGGTCACATGTTAGTTTTTGACTTAAAAAACAGTTCTGGCACTAAAGTACATACTTCAAAAATAGCAACTTTTTAGGTAGGGAATTTACATGTCCTTTTAAAGTGGGAGTGGTAAAATTTTACTTTTTTGTGGTAGTGGTAAAATTTTATTTTTGTGTTCCCATATTTTTTGCACTACTATATGAGAGGCTTTTTTTTTTTTTTAAATGACTTTTTGGCTTGAAGTTCATCCAGGTTGTCTGGAACTTTGTATTAATTCCTGAAATAACCTAGCTTACTATTAGGACCCTCATTCTATGAATCCCTTCTTCAAATTTTAGTTCATTCATTTGCAACATATCTCCACTATAGCTAAACTGTGTGCTTGATGTTGCCTGTGGCTTACTGTTCTGTTCTGTTTTGTACTGCCCTTTATGTTTTTTAAATTCATTTTTTAGTTACAGGTGGACACAATACCTTTATTTTTATGTGGATCGAACCCAGTGCCTCTCCCATGCTAGGCAAGCACAGTACCTCTGAGCCACAACCCTAGCCCCTGCCCTTTATGTTTTTAATCCCTGTCTTTTAAGTGTTGCCTCCTATGAGACCTATCTTTAAAAAAATCACTTTCTGTATTCTGTTGAATATTATCAACTCTGATTGTTATTATTTTTTGCATTATTGGGGATTAAACCGAGAGGCACTCTACTACTGAGCCACATCCTCAGTCCTTTTTATTTCTTATTTTGAGACAGTCTTGATAAACTGCTGAGCCTGGCCTGGAACTGGGAATCCTCCTATCTCAGCCTTTTAAGTCATTGGGATTACTTGTGTGCACCATCACAGCTGGTCCAGCTCTGATTATTCTTTTACCTTATATTTTGTTATTTGTCTGGGAAACAGTAGCACTGACAGAGCACGCCATAGATTCCAACCTACATCTGCAAAATAGTCATTCCTAGTCTGTTGGTGTTAATTGCCTTTTTTTTCTTCTTTTTTAAATTTTTATTTTGAAAAAGTTAAATTTTATTTTGCATTTATAGGTAATACTTCTAATCATTCTTAAGTTACTTAGAATTTGTAGTTTTTGAACTAGAAAATAGGGACACTGATAATGACTTTGTTTTCATCTTATTTTTTGGTTCTGGGGATGGGAACCCAGAGTCCTCTGCCTGCTAAGTATGCTGTACAGCTGAGTTGCATCCTCGGCCTTCATCTTATTTTTATTCTAGCCTTCTTCCCCCAAGTCTAATATAGTACAAAAATGGGATGCTGATATATTAAAATTGACCTTTAAATATGTATGATTCTTGATTCTCTTATCTTGCAGACATGTTGGCCGTCATTGCCTCCGAGCTCACCTAAGTCCTCAGCTCTATGTCAGAAAGTAAGTCTCTAAGTCTGTGGAGATTATTATTATTATTTTCTTTGTTATGATACTTCTTTTTTTAAAATTCTGAGACAAGGTCTTCCAAGTTGCTGAGGTGCTGAGACTGGCCTTGAACTTGAATCCTCTTGCCTCAGCCTCCTGAGTCACTAGGATTACAGGAGTGCACCACTATAGATGGCCAGCCTTATTGCTTTTTTTTTTTTTTTTTTTTTTTGTACTGGGGATCAAACCCAGGGGCACTGAGTCACTGAGTGACATCCCCAGCCTTGTTTTTGTATTTTATTTTGAGACAGGGTCTCCTTAAGTTGCTTAGGGCCTCGTTAAGTTGCTGAGGCTGGCTTTGAACCTGCAGTCTTCCTTCCTCAGCCTCTCAAGCCACTGGGATTACAGGTGTGTGCCCCCATGCCTGGTGAGAGCTTTATTGATATTTTTAACTTCACTGATTTGCTCCAACTTTTTTTTTTTTTTTTTTTTAATTTGTGCTCCAACTTCTTGATTCCTTCACTGATATTTAATTCTCCTTTTTCTACTTTGTTTTTTTTCCTTAATAATATTTTTTTGTAATTTTTAATTTTAGGCAATTTCACATCTTAATTAGTTGTAAAATATTTTCCCCCTGTTAAACAGTCATTCCTAGTCTTTTGGTGTTAATTGCCTTTTTTTCCCCTTCTTTTTTAAATTCTTATTTTGAAAAAAAATTTTATACTTTCAGGAAAGTTATAAAGTAGTATGATGAAATTCAATACAACTTTTATCCAGATTTATCAATTGTTAACATTTTGCTGTTTGTTTATTCATTCTATTTTAGGTTGTATCACATGAAATAGTTATTTTTGTAGGTCAAAAGTAGTTGAATAGTTGTCAATTTATTGGGCTCCAGCCTAATATATATTTATTATTTTCACAGAATTCTTTTAGAGTAAGTTGTGAACAGCATGATATTTTACCTGTAACTATTTCTTCTGAGAACAAGAAATTACCTTACATAACACAGCATAGTTATACAAGCATAATTATCAAATTTAGGAAATTTAATGTTGATGAATGCTTATCTAATGCACAGTTGATTTTCAGATTTTCTATTTTTTCCAAATAACGTACTTTATGAAATCCAGTATCTCATTTTCTACCCAAGATCTAACTAGACTCACGTGTACTTAGTTGTCATATTTCTTTAATATTTTAAAATCTGAAATTGTGTCTTAGTCTTTATCTTTTATGGCTGAATTTTTGAAGACTACAGTACAGTTATTTTGTAGTGTTAGCTGAGTTTTCGTGATTGTTTCCTAATGATAAGAAATATCAGTACATCATACCAGTGGTCATATAATGCCATTTGTCCCATTATCAGTGGCTTTTAACTTTGATCATTTGAGTGAGAAAATGTCTGCTAGGTTTTTTCTACCATAAGATTACTACCTTTTCCCCTCGTAGTTCCTGAGTAATCTATGAGGAGGTATTTTCTTTTCTCTCTTTTTTGGTACTGGGTATTGATTCCAGGCCTTTATATATGCAAAGCATGTGCTTTACCACTGAGCTATACCCACTTTTCTTGAGACATTTTCTTGAGGGGAATGGGATCATGTTTTTAATTAGTTTTTTGTTTGTTTGTTTTTGTGGTATTGGGGATGGAACTCAGGGTCTTATACATGCTAGGGAAGTACTCTGCCACTGAACAATAGCCCTAGCCCCAAGGTTATTAACTGAAGCAAACTTGGCATAAAAATAATACTATTGGAGGAACATGTTTTCCTAAGTTGTTGGGTTTGTCTTTGTCCAGCTCACCTTACTTTTTTTTTTTTTTTAATTTTTGTTATATAAAATATGAAACTGCCAGCACCAGGAGACTCAGGAGGCTGAGGCAGGAAGATTGCAAGTTCAAGGTCAGCCTGGCCTGGGGATGTAGCTCGGTGGTAGAGCATCCTAGGGCTTAGTCCTCAGTGTCACCAAAAAACAAACAAATGAAATTAAACCAAGCTTACTTTTAATCCATTTTTAATCTTTTGGTTTTATTTTAGTGCTATTCCGATGGGAACCACAGCCAAAGAAGAGATGGAGCGGTTCTGGAATAAGAACACAGGTTCAAACCGTCCTGTATCTCCCCATATTACTATCTACAGGTAAAGTTTCTGGAGCCAGAGAATCTAGAGGTGATGGGTAAAAGTTCTGGAGGTTGTCCTTAGCCTCCCTGATATTCTCTGCAATTGGAGGGAAATATTTGCTCAGATGGAAAGTAGCTGTGTAGATGAGATACCCTTCACAGTAGAGGGAAATAACTTATCAGGCCTTTTTAAATTTGGACATGATTTAAGTCTATCATCTAGCCTTAATCTATCTTGCAATACTACTATTTAGGAAATTCTAATGCGTCCCAATACAGTTCCCACTAATTAAAATGTTTTGAGTCTGTTGAGGTGGTGCATACTTATAAAGCTCATCTACTCAGGATGCTAAGGCAGGACACTCTGAAGTTTGAGGTTAGTCTGGGCTACTTAGGGAGACCCTGTCTCAAAATTAAAAACATAAAAAGGGCTGGGAATTTAGTTCTGTGGTAGAGTGCTTGTCTAGCCTGTGGGAGGTCTCTGGGTTCAATCCCCAGTACAAAACTTAAAAAAAATGTTGAGATAATTTCAAATATACATAAAAGTTGCAGAAATAATTATACAGAGTTCCCATATACCTTTATGCAGATTCCCAGATTGTTGACATATCTGAATGAGTTAAGAACAGGTTTTTTTTTTTTCTTTACTCTCTCTTTCTTTTTTTATCATACTGGGTTCCTTTCACATGGAAAGGAATCCAGTATGATAAAAGTGATCTACCTTTGAGTTCCCTCCCCAGCCCTTTTAAAACTTAGTGACTAAAAATAACAGAATTTCATAGTCTTAACAGTTCTGTAGTTTAGAAGTGTGACATAGATTTCAAATAAAGGTGTTAGCAAGGGCTGCGTTCTTTTCCATTGGCTCTAGGTAAAAATCCATTACTTTACCAATTCTAGCTTCTGGATGCTATCCACATTCCTTGGCTTGTGGCCTTGTTTTTCCACCTTCAAAGCAAGCAACAGCAGATTTGTTCTCACTTTATATCATTCTAATCTATTTTGCCTCTCCCTTCTACTTTTAAGGACTCTTGTAATTACATTTGAACTGATCTGCCTATCCCAGTCCCCCCGAGATTGTTTGTCCCATGGGCAGAATACATTCACCCCATCCCATTGGCCCCAAAAGTTTTAACCCATTATAGCATTGACTCCAACTTTTAAAATTTCATCTAAATATCACTGTCAAAATTAGATATGGGTGAGTATAATACCTCCTGAGGTGCATTTAATTGTCTTCTGTAAAACTCAAGAAACAATCTACTTTTGATTTATATATTGTTGGCAGGCTCCTGAGTTGATGCTGTGTTCTTCTCAGTATATTATATCAGGAGGTACATGATGATGATTTAATCCATTATTGGTGATATGAGCTTTTGGGGGGGGGGGGGGGGGGGCGGTTACTGGGATTGAACTCAGGGGCACTTGACCACTAAGCCACATCTCCAGCCCTTTTTTGTTTTTTATTTAGGAACAGAGTCTCACCAAGTTGCTTAGCACCTCACCATTGCCAAGGCTGGCTTTGTACTCGCGATCCTACTGCCTCGGCCTCCCGAGCCATTGGGATTACAGGCATGCACCACTGTGCCCAGCTGATATGAGCTTTTATCACTGGTTAAGATATGTTTACTGGATTTTTTCATGTAAAGTTGGCATATTTAATAATTAATAATATTTTGTGGGAAGATACTTTGAAACTCTAAATATTCTGTTTTTCATCAGACATTTACCCAACAACATCTGTGGATAATATTTTACTAAATTAGATTATTACTCTGATGGTTGCCAAACTGTGATTTTTCTAATTCCATGTCCCATCTAGATTTATTTATTTCTATAGAGTAAAGTTTGCCTTCTTTATTAGTATGGACTCAGGGATGCTTATTTTGCCGAGAGGGTTGTACTCTGTTAGTCTCATTTATTTTGATGTTCAGATGGTGCCAGACTTGACAAATGGACCCCCCCACACACACTCCTTTTTTTTTTTTTTGGTACTAGAGATAGAACTCAGGAACATTTTACCACTGAACTACATCCTCCAGTCCTTTTTTTATTATTTTGAGATAGTGCCTCCCTAAGTTACTGAGTCTGGCCTTGAACTTGTAATCCTCTTGCTTTAGTTGTAGGTACATCAGGTATGTACCAACCACAGTTGGCTCAGTGGGTATTGATGGCTTCTGTGAAATGAGTATTTGGGTGTTAGATGTGCTTGGTACTACCAGCATGTCATTGTTTCTAGGCCCTCTCAGTGGACAGAGCTAAGATAAATATGGGTCCAATCATACCCCACTGTGTATATGTGACTATATATACAGTGTATATAGCTGGTGCCTCCTAAGATAAGTCCCTGTTGATCTGCTTTTTTTTTTTTTTAAGCCAACCCAGCAACATCTTGAGCTCTGCTACCCTCTACTTGGTTTCCTGCCAGTGAGGCTGGCCATTTTTTAACCACCTCCACAAATACCACAACCCTTCAGTTTTTTCCCCAACCCAAATTCCAGGAATAATTCTGATGGCAGGAATTAGATATTTTACTAAAATAAAAGTAGGCTAATAAGTGATCTTAGTTATTTTTTGAGGGCACAGGGGCATTAAAGATTGAACCCTGAGTTACATTCCCAGTCCTTTTTTAAAAAAATTTTTGTTTTATTTTATTTTGAGAGAGGTCTCACTGAGTTGCTAAGGGCCTCACTAAATTGCTGAGACTGGCCTCAAACCTGTAATCATTCTGCTTCAGCCTCTAAGCCACTGTAATCCCTGGCTAGTGATCTCAATTCTTAATATCTTATGGTGAAACTTTTAATTTTTTATTTATTTATTTTTTTAGTTGTAATGAACACAATACCTTTGTTTTATTTATTTATTTTTATGTGGTGCTGAGGATCAGACCTAGTTGTAATGAACACAATACCTTTGTTTTATTTATTTATTTTTATGTGGTGCTGAGGATCAGACCCAGTGTCTCACATGTGCTAGGCAAGTGCTCTACCACTGAGCTATAACCCCAGTCCCTGGTGAAACTTTTTTTTTTTTTTTCAGAGATAAATGTTTGTTTGTTTTTTTGGTGGGGAGGGGGATTATAATTATGGAGAACTTCCCAAGTTATTCTCAATTTATGTTAAAAGCCTTGATCTTATTTTACAAGTCACACATACACAAAAAAATGGTAGTAGGCTGCTGAGGTAAGCCTACCACTATTTTGTTTGCTCTTCCAGAAATGGAACTTCATACACACTTGTGGGATACAAAAAGGAAACATCAAGGAATGTGGGCCTGTTTCAAGGGTGACGTGTCAGAGAAATGTATCTGAGATATTTGAAATCGTACTTTTATTGGTAACTTCTAGAGTGTTTTGGAAGAGAGATTGTTGAGCATCATGTATATCTTCCTTGGAGAAATGCTTTTTCTTTACTTTCTTTTTTTTGAATCAGGAATTGAACCCAGAGGTGCTTAGCCTCTGAGCCATATCCCCAGCCCTTTTAAAAAAATTTTTAAAAATTAAAAAAAAAATTTATTATCCCCAGCATTTTTAAAATGTTTTATTTTGAGACAGCATCTCACTAAATTGCTGAGGCTGGCTTTGATTTTGTGATCTTCCTGTGTCAGCCTTCTGAGTTGCTGGAATTGCAAGCATTTGCCACCATGTCTGGCTCTCATTTTTTTTGTGTGTGTGGTACTGGCAGTTAAACTCAGGGGTACATAACCACTGAGCTACATCTCTTGCCCTTTTATTTTTTTAAATTTTGAAACAGTGCCTTTCTAAATGCCCAGGCTGGCCTGGAACTTGTGATTCTCCTGCCTCAGCTTCTGGAGCTGCTGGGATTGTAGTTGTGTGTTACCATGTCTTTTTACTTTCTTGAAGGTATTGTTTGTAGCACAATTGTTAGATCACTTGCTGAAATTCATATATTCTTATGTTTCTAGTTGCCTACCATTGTATTAACAAAGTCAAAAAATAGAAAAGTAGACTTTTTTTTTTTTTTATGATTCCCAGTATGTTTGATACTCTTTTAGGAGTTGGAAATGGATAAATAAGATAATAAACTTCAAAAAGGATCTCAGGCTTGGCCCTGTGGTGGGTGCCTATAACCCTTGCTACTTGGGAGACTGAGGCAGGAGAATGGTAAATTCACGAGCTTGGGCAACTTAGTGAGACCCTGTCTCAAAATAATAAGGACTGGGAATGTAGTTTTGTGGTAGAGTACTTGCCTAGTATGTACAAGGGTTCAGTTCCCAGTGCTGGAGAAAAAAAAGAAAGAAAGAAAAGAAAAAGAAAAACCTCAGTATTTCCTGAAAAAATTTTTTTTCCTAAGTGAAATCATACTGATTTCCACTTTTTGTAAGTGAATTAAAATAGTCTTGGTTTTCTGTACTAGACTCTTAATGACTGAACAGGGAGTAGTGGTAGTGATTATCTTTGTTCTATGATGTTTGGAATCTCAACTGGAAAACACAGTCTAAGGGTTAAACTAATCTCAAGTTCTGTTTGCTTACATGTCTTGGGTTGATCCTGGCTGTTGGGAGTGGCCCTTATTTTCTCCACATGGGCTGTTTCCCATAATTTTTTAATTTTGAATTCTTGGTGTTGTTTTATTTTGTGGTGCTGGGGATCGAACCCAGGGCCATGTGCATGCTAGGCAAGCACTCTCCCACTGAGCTACATTCTTGGTACCAATTCTTTTCTTTTCTTTTCATTTGGATATACCCATAAACTCTTTGCATTGACTACTTTGGGCTTCCTCATAGCATGAGGAAGGGAAATTTGGAAGTCATGCATGTTTATTTCTTCTGTGTTCTGTTTCTTGAAGCAGTTAGTCATGAAGTTCTGCCTGGATTTAAAGGAAGGGACTAAATACTTGGTAAAGAATGACAAGATTCTGGAAGAGCATGTGGTACAAGAAGTAATGTTGTGGTTAATTTTGGCAAGTAGAATGTTCTTACCCACTCAGTAATAGGCTAACTGGGCTATTATGGTTTAATGACTTTTGAAAATTAGGGTAGCCGGGCATGGGCATGTTGGTTCATGCCCTGGAGGACTGCAAATTCAAGGCCAGCTTCAGCAAATTGGCAAGACCCTGTCTCAAAAAAATTTTTAAAAATGGACTAAGGATGTGCCCCTGGGTTCAATTCCTGCTACTAAACAAATAAAGAAATAAAAATATGGTAACATTTGCCAGGTGAGGTGGTGCATTCCTGTAATCCCAGTGGCTCAGAAGGCTGAGGTGGGAGCATTGTGATTTCAAAGCTAGCCTCAGCAAAAAATGAGTTGCTAAGCAATTCACTGAGGCCCTGTCTCTAAATAAGATACAAAATAGGGCTGGGGATATGGTTTAGTTGTTGAATGCCCCTGAGCTCAATTCCTAGTACAAAAAAAAATAGGGTAACATTTGAATTTTTCTCTCTTTTAGTGATGGGAGTTAATTTATGTGGGCTAGGAGCCCCCATAAACTGCATTTGGAATGCTAAGTAATGCCTTAAAATTTCCTTACCTCTTGGGTTTCAGGCCTTTCAAATAAATATTTGTTCTTTTTTAGACTGATAGTCTTTCTCTTTGACAAAATATTTAAGCAATCTGTTTCACAATTTTGTCATCAAAATTCCCTATTCTAGTTAGGGGGCTTTCTGTTCCTGAATGCAATTTTAAAAGCCCCTTTTTGTTGTCCTTAATGTCTTTTGCAAGCTGCAGCTCTCCTGATTCTTCATGCCAAATTATGCCATTGTTCTGTTTGTCCTTGGTTATGTGGCTCTTCTTCCATCTTTTATATTTATCCCATTAAATCTGAGTTAATCAGAATGGTCTCTAGTGAGTTTTTTTGGTTTCTCTGAATATTACTCTTTTCTTAACTGTGAACTTTTTTTTTTTTTTGGTACCAGGGATCGAACCCAGGGACCACATTCCCCATCCCTTTTTAATAGTTTATTTATAGACAGGGTCTTGCTGAGTTGCCTTGGGCTTCACTAAGATGCTGAGGCTGACTTTAAACTCACAATCCTCCTGCCTCAGCCTCCTGAGCCCCTGGGATTACAGATGTGCACCACCACACCTGGCTTAATTGTGAACATTTTTATTTTGTAGGTAGAGGATTGAATCAAGGTCCTTGCACATGCTAGGCAAGCACTCTATCATTGAAATCTATCCCCAGTCCTAGAATTTCTTTTTGAGATCTTTTCAACCTTCAGTAATTTCTCTTTAGGGTATTAAATATGTGGTCTGATTTTGGTCAGTATTCCCTTTCTAAGCTGATTTTCCAAATGAACATTAACTTTCTCCAAGACTGCTATTCCTTCTATTTTACCAATCAGTTCCCTCTTGAGAATGAGAACAGGTCTAGAATAACGATGTTGATTGTTCCTCTATGGAAATGCTTTGGCAAAATGGTAATTTATGATTTAAAAAGGAATTTGTGTGGGGGGGAGTGGATTCTGGGGATTGAGTCCAGAGTCACTGAACTACATCCTCAGCTCTTTTTATTTTATTTTGAGGCAGAGTCTAGCTAAATTTTCCAGGCTGGCCTGGAACTTATGATCCTCCTGCCTCAGCCTCCCAAGGTGTGTGCCATCCTGCCCAACTTGATTTCATGACAAAGTGTTTTAGAACTACTATGATAAGAAATATATACTAAGCTGGGCATGTGGCACATGCCTCTAATTCCAGTGACTTTGAAGGATGAGGTGGGAGGATCACAATTTGGAGGCTATCTTCAGCAATTTAGGGAGACCCTGTCTAAAAATAAAAAAAGGACTGGGGATGTAACCTAATGTTAAAGTACAGGGGAAGGGAAAGGAAGAGAAGGGAACAGGACTAAATCCAGCAAAATTATTTATTAGGGAATAAATGGTATGTTCAATATTTGTGGGGATATAATAAGGGAGAGTTCAAGAATGATCATATATTTTGTGAAACTGGGTAAGTAAAACTCACTTAGATTTTCCACTACAGTGTTAAAACTGGAGAAACAGAAGGATCCAGGTGGTTATGTTCCAATGATTACTTCCTCTAATTGTGCCAGCTTTTATTGGTGACAACATAGTGATCTCTGTTTCTCCTTGTGAAAGAAGTTGTAATTGTTTTCTCCTCTCAGCTCTAACAGTGATGAAGTCTGATAAAAGGAGGGACACTTTTTAAATAAATGTCTTTTTTTTTTTAATTTTATTTTTCAATTTTGCAGTATTGGGGAATGAACCCAGGGCTTCATGCATGCTAGGAAGGCATCCTAACACTGAGCTACACCCCAGCCTAGTTTTCAAAATAAAAAGTGAAAGCAAGGAATTTGAAAACTGTTTTTTTTTTTTTTTTTTTAAATAGTGAGTATTTCAGCTTGGTGCAGTGGTGCACACCTGTAATCCCAGCAACTCAGGAGGCTGAAATAGGAGGATCTGGAATTCAAAGCCAGCCTCAGCAAAAGCAAAGCTCTGAGCAACTCAGTGAGACCCTGTCTCTAAATAAAATACAAAATAGTGCTGGTGATGTGGCTCAGTGGGTTCACTGAGTTCACTCCTGGGTTCACTCCCTGGTACCAAAAAAAAAAAAAATAGTGCCTATTTCAGAATTAGTGTATGTTTTCATTGCCAAGATGGACACTCTGCTATGGGGTCAATTTTTCCGTTTTTAAATTGTCTTTATGTGTTTCTTTGTAGCTGGTCTCTTCCTATGGCAATGTCCATCTGCCACCGTGGTACTGGTATGGCCTTAAGTGGAGGTATGTATGTGCATTTTTATACACGCATACACACACACACACACACACACACACACACACACACTTCTTTGAAGAACTGCTATTTCTGTGACTCTTGTCACTCACTGCCTTCTGCAACTCAGAGATTGATGAGTCTTTTTTTTTTTTGATACCAGGGATTGAACCCAGGGGCACTTAACCACTGAGCCATATCCCCAGCCCTTTTTATTTTTTATTTTGAGACAAGATCTCTCCAAGTTGCTTAGGGCCTCACTAAGTTGCTGAACCTGGTTCTGAACTTGGTGATCCTCTTGCCTCAGCCTCCCGAGTCACAGGGATTAGAGGCCCAGCTATAACGAGTCCCTTTAAGTACCTGCATTCATCATTTGTTATGTTATCTTGGTACTGGGGATTGAACCCAGGGGCACTTTACCACTGAGGTATGTCCCCACCCCTTCTTAATTAGTTAATTTATTTTGTATTAACGCATTATAGTTATACATAATAGGTTAATTTTGACATATTCATACATGCATATTACATAATTTGCTTCATTTCGATCCAATACTTCCCCTTTGTCTTTCTGCAGCCCCGTCACCTTCTGCCTTCTTCTACTTTACTCTTTTGTTGTTATTTTGAGGTGCTAGGGTTGAACCCAGGCCTGTACATGCTAGGCAAACATTTTACACCTAAGCTATACCCACCAATCTAACTCTACCCTTTTTTGTTTTTTTACTTTTTTTTTAATGTAAGTTTATTTACTTTTTTTAAAATCTAAAAAAAAATTTTTTAGTTGTCAGTAGAACCTTTATTTATTTATTTACTTATTTATATGTGTTGCTGAGAATTGAACCCAGTGCCTCACATGTGCTAGGCAAGTGTGCTACCACTGAGCCCTAGCCCCAGCCCTCCAGCCCTATTTTCTTATTTTGAGATAGGGACTCACTAAATTGTCCAGGCTAGGCTCCAACTTGTCGTTTTCTTGGGTCAGCGTTCTGAATAGCTGGTATTATAGCTGTATGCCACTGCATTCAGCAAAAATGGCCATTACTTCTTTGCTTTTTTTTTTTTTTTTTTTTTTAATTAGGAATTGAACCCAGGGCCTCGTACATGCCAAGTAAATGTTTATCATTGAGCTATATTCCCAGCCTTCATCCATTTCTTGTTTTTTTTCATGGTACTAGGGATACAACTCAAGGGTATTCTACCACTGAGCCACATCCCCAGCCCTTTTAATTTTAAAATTTATATGTTTATTTGGTACCGGGGATTGAATATGGGGGTGCTTTATCATTGAGCTATATCCCTAGCCTTTTTTGTTTTTATTTTGAGATGGTCTCACTAATTTGTTAAGGCTGACTTCAAACTTGTGATCCTCCTGCATCAGCCTCCCAAGTTGCTGAAGGATTATATGTGTGTGCTACCATACCCAACTTTATTTATTTATTTATTTTTGTTTTGGGGTAGGGTCTCACTAAATTGCCTTGGCTGGTCTGGAATTTACAATCCTCCTGCATTGGTCTCCCAGGTGCTGGGATTATAGCATGTGCCATCATGCCCAGCTCCTCATTCACTTATTTATTTATTTTTGGATACTGGGGATTAAACTCGGGGATACTCAACCACTGAGCCACATCCCCAGCCCTTTCTTATATTTTATGTAAAAATAAGGTTTCACTGAGTTGCTTAGGGCCTCACTAAGTTGGGGCTAGCTTTGAACTCATAATCTTCCTGTCTCAGCCTCCTGAGCCACTGGGATTACAGGTGTGTGCCACCACTTTGGCTTCCTCGTTCATTCTTTTTTATCAATTAATTATGAGTGCCTGCTATGCTCAGGTTCTTTCCTTAGGTTTGAAAGCTACTTGATTGAGAGGAAGCACAGAGAGGTTATAGAGGCCTGCATAGGTAAATCTGAATTTATTTTTCTTCAGTCTCCTTAAGATATCTTGGAAACTTGTGCTGTCTTCTAACAAAGGTAATCTAGCTCTTATAATCTATCAGAGGGGGACTGGGGTTGTGGCTCAGTGGTAGAGCGCTTGCCTAGTGTGTAGATGCCCTGGGTTCGATCCTCAGCACCACATAAAAATAAATAAATAAAACAAAGGTATTGTGTCCAACTACAACTAAAAAATAAATATTAAAAAAAAAAATCCATCAGAGGAACAAATATAAACTAAGAGTGGTAGAATGCTTCCTAAAAGAAATGCAGAATGAGGTGTAAGTACTTGTTCTACAAGCCTTCTGTTTTAAGTTGCTACTTCTAAGCCCTTTGCTGGCAAAGGAAAATGGGGTTATGATTTTGAACAGCATAAATCCATGCCAGATATGCAAACTCTTTTTTCCTGTGGATAGTTCCCTGCTATGCCTTTAACCTTATCCTCAGAGTAAGAGCATATCTTGCCTAGAGTCTGTGTGAGGTCATATACCTGAGAGACAGAAGCCCCACTGTTTTGTATTAAAGAAGACTCCAAGTCCCTTTGCCTCCTTTCTTTTGCTACTTTAGCCTGGGAGCAAAGTCTGAGTTTTATTCACACATCAGACATCATTGCTCACTTGCCAGGAAATGACCCACTGTGCCGAGTGGAACAGATGTCAGGCAGCCTTCAGGTCCTAGTGTGTAATATGCGCTTGATCCAGACATTTGGTAACAGATTGAGCTGTCAGGGTAAGAAAGAGATATCTTTTGATTTTCTTGGTAAAGTGATGGTGGTATTGGAAAAGTACTCTTCTGTTTTTCATACTGTCCTTCAGGGTCCCTCCTAGACTTCTGTAGACTTTTTTTTTTTTTTTTTTTTCTCTTTACCTAAAGGATTCATCAGCCTAGTGGCTTTAGTGTAGGATCTTGCATTTAGGGAGCTATAGTTTAGGTATTGGCAGGAATTATCTGAAGCTAAGTCTCTGCTGTTCTTAATCTTATGCATGTACACACACATACCCGTTGTTGGTGGTAGTAATCATATAAGGATAGAAACTCCTAAGATCTGATGGTGTCATTCTTATGCCATCATTGCTTTGGTTGGTAAAGGGATATTAGAATGCAGGTATATGATGTTGCCTAGGAATCTGTGTGTAGTTCCTGGTTTTAAACCTGCTTGCATTGACTAATAGCGTGAATTATTGATTAAATTTATAATTACTTTTTTAAAAATATCTTTATTTTATTTGTTTATTTTTTTATGTGGTGCTGAGGATCGAACCCAGGGCCTTGTATGTGCAAGGCGAGCACTCTACTGTTGAGCACAATCCCAGCCCCTATAATTACTTTTTTTAATGATTGCTTTTATTTGTGCTTAGAGTAAGAAATTTTTAGGTTGACACTTTTTGCTTGTTGGTATTAATGAGCAGTTTCATCCTAAAACTTCTTGGGGAAACGTTTTTCAGGCTGTAATTTTCTTTTTTTTAATATTTATTTAATTTTTTAGTTATAGGTGGACACAGTATCTTTATTTTATTTTTTTATGTGGTGCTGAGGATCAAACCCGGTGCCTCACGCATGGTAGGCGAGCACTCTACCTCTGAGCCACAACCCCAGCCCTGGTGTGGTGGCGCACACCTATAATTCCACTACCTCTGGAGGAGACGGGAGGATCACAAGTTCCAGGCCAGCCTCAGTAACTTAGTGAGTCCCTCAGCAACTTAGTGATACCCTGTCTCAAAATAAAAATCTTTAAAAAGGGCTGGCGATGTAGCTCAATGGTAAAGCACCCCTGGGTTCAATCCCCAGAATCGGAAAAAAAAAAAGAATGTTGACTTTTTAATAGACTGCTAGTTGAGGTGTGAGCCATACATGGTGGAGTGCACCTGTAATCCCAGCTGCTTGGGAGGTTGAGGCATGAGGATTGCAAGTTCAAGGCCAGCCTTGGCAACTTAGCAAAGCCCTGTCTCAAAATAAAAAAATTAAAAGGGCTGGGGTGTAGTTCATTGAAAAAGCACCCTTGGATTTAATCCTCAGTATCAAAAAAAAAAAAAAAGAAAGAAAAAGAAAAAAGAAAGGAGGGAGAGAGAGGGGAAAAAAGAGAGAAAAAAAACTTTGGGTTGAGATTTCCTTAATTCATAAGCAAACCTGCTGCTTAGGCATTCTTCCCCCCCCCCCCCCCCCAGAAAAGCCAAAGAACTAATAGATTTGTAAGTAACTAATGAATTCTGAAAAGGATCCTTTAATTCCTCTGGGCTTTTCTAACATTTTTTTATTGATTCTTAAATGTTATCTGTTACACCTTAGGAATTCTAGTCATTCCAGACTGAGGTAGTATAGAGAAGATGAAAACCTTTGGAATGAGATAGATCTGAGTTCAGATGCAACTCTATCACTAAGTAGTTGTCAGATATTGGACAAGTTATTCGGTTCCTTGAGCCTTTAATTTTATTTTTTTTTTGGGGGGGGGGGGCATTGAACCCACTGCCTTGCACATGCTAGGCAAATGCTCTACCACTGGGCTGCATCCCTAGTGCTAGCCTCCGATAAACAGATAGATAGATAAGATTTTTTAAATTTTTTTTTAATTGAATATGGACATAGTACTTTTGTTTATGTGTTTATTTTATGTGGTCTTGAGGATCAAACCCAGTGCCTCACATGTGCAAAGCAAGCATTCTACCACTGAGCCACAACCTCAGCCCCCAGCCTCAGATATTTCATTTACAAATGTAGATAATACTTTTTTACTGTATATGGGAGCAACAATTAGAATTTAAGGATTGTAAAATTAATATAAATTATTATGAAATGAGTATGATTTGTTGTCTGTTGGAATAAACTGAAAGTTTATGGACATACTGTAGTACAGATGAGAACATCAAGGAAATTTCCAAATGCATCAAAATGTATACAGTTTGTTCAATGTATATGATGTATACAGTGTATATGTATAGTTTTGAATGTATCAATTATACCTCCATAAAACTAACTAAATAAACCAACATGACCAAATAATGTTAGAGACATGGGACCAGAATGTGATTGAATTAAGTAAGGCAGGAATCTAGTTGGTACTATTATATTCTATTTTAGGGTACAAACT